TGCAGCATGGCCTAGTAGACAGGGCACTGGCCTAGAACTCAGGAGACCAGGGCTCTATTCCTGACTTTGCCACAGTCACGGGTGTCTGTTTCTCCTCCCACTCTGTGCCTGTCTTGTCAGACTGTGAGCTTTTTGAGGCCGGGACTGTCTCTCTGTCTGCAGCCTAGCACACTGAGGGTCTGGCTTTCAGCTGGGGTCACCATAATACAACCAAACAATATCACCATAGATAAGTGGAGGAAGCAGGGAGAGGAGGATAGATAGGAAGTTGGGTAACCTTACAGTCAGTGGGAGCAGAGGGTGCTTATTGATATTAGTTTTATCAGCTGGACCTAGCCCAGGGAGGGTTTTAAAAACAAAAACAAAGCTGGTAAAAAATAAAGGCTCTTCTTCTAAATTAAAAATGAAAGCATTGTCCAAGCTACTTCAGATTTTGGGCTCAAAGCCCACAATACTCCCCCAAAACAATTGCAAAGAGATTTTTCAAAAATAAGATTTTGTGAAAAATTGAAGCTGCAAAGCAAGGGAAACACCCCCTTCACCTTAGTGTTAGCTTTAAAGTGTGCGTGCAAAGGTTCCTTCAGAGTCACCATTGCTGTAGGAATTAGTTAGATTCATAGATTCCCAGGCCAGAAGGGACTGCTGTGACATGTAGTCTGTCTCCCCCCGCACCCGTATAACACAGGACAGAGAACTCCCCCAGAATAAGCCCTAGAGCAGATCTTTTAGTAAAACATCCCAGCTTGATTTCAAAATAGTCAGTGACGGAGAATCCGCCACGACCCTTGGTCAGTCCATTATTCTCACCGTTAAACCCCTGCGCCTTATTTCCAGGCTGACAGTGTTTAGTTTCAGCTTCCAGCCGTTGGACTGTGTCCGACCTTTCATTAGTACAGATTCAATAAACGTTGTGCTGGGAGAAAGGAGGTCTCCGCTTCTCTACTATGGAGATTAAATAGGGTAAAGAAAGATTCCTTTGCAGCCCCGACCCTGACCAGTTGCCCCTGAGGGCTGGGATCGAATGGGCTTCGTGTACACAGCAGTATATGGGGGGGGGGGGGATTTCTTTCGCATTCTTGCTCTCGGAAGAAGAAAAGCAAGAGGCTGCAATAACTCCCTTCAGTTCAGAGCTGCCAGCGCTTCGTTATGAAACCTGCGACCAGAGACGTCGGGGCAACTCCCACATGAAGGACAAGGCTCCTTTTAGAGCCGCTTTAGGCTCCTTTTCTATGCGCTGTGAAGGCAAATTCCTCCAGATGGCAAATATTTTGATTATGGACTGAAAGAAAGAACCATTCCCCACCCCCTCCTTTAAACCAAGTACAAGAGTTTGGGGAGGAGGGGGAATCAAACTGGAATCACATTGAATTCTACTTGTCCTTGAACAGTAGGAAAGGGACAACAGTTTCTTTCTCTGTCTCTTTCTTAGAATTGCATTTAATTTGTGGCTAAGGTGTGTTTGAGACCAGAGTGCTGAAGCAGCACCCAGACCCTGAATGCAGCTCACGGAGGCAGAATCCCATGCAGATGCGGACCCACCAGTTTATAATAAATACTGGAGCTGGTTGGCAAATGGAATTTTGTCTGGCAGGAAACGTCACCATGTCAGAATTAGTTCCCTGTGCTGAGTCAGACTGGAAAGTCAAAATATAGAACATTTCCCAAAGCATTGGAACTGGAAATCACCCACAACAAATGTTTGTTTGGATTTTTTGACACTTTTGATCAAAAGGAAACATGGTGGCATTTTTAATTTAGAATCAATGTTTCACAACGAAAAACCGTGGATTCATTTCAGAATGTTGACATGGAAGAAAGAAACGTCACTTGGATTTTTCCCAGTTGGAAACCTGTTAAAATGTTAAAACTGACATTTCCCTGCAAAAAGTTTCAGTTCTGATGAAACAACATTTCCCTACAGGAAAGCTGCTTATATGAAAAATATTGACCAGCTCCAATGAATACAAGAGTGCTGGAAAGATGCTGGTTTGAAGGACTGTGAACAGGCCAAAAATCATACATTTGTTTGTAGTGAAACTTCTTGCCACCCTTCTATATGTTTGTACGATGCCTAGCACAATGTGGTCCAAACCTGGTTGTGGCCCTTAGGAGCACCACAAGATAAATCTTAAATAACAACACAATAATTCAAACTAGGGCCCTGATCCTGCAAAGACTGATGCACATGAGTAGTCTTGTTGATTCACACAGCACTGGATGGGACCTCCTGGATTATTCAATCCAATCCCTGCTATTACAGATAATCTTGTCACATAATTCTGTTCACAAATTTATCAAGCTCCATCTTCAGACAAGTTAGGCTGACTCACATGCTTAAAGTTAAGTGTATGTCCAGCCTTTGTGAGATCAAGGGGCATAGAAGCTTCTCAATATGGGGGGGGAGGACAGATATAATTTCATCATATGGTGATGATAATACTCTTTCCATACCATGAGTATCTCTGGAGGAGGTTAAACAGAAGCTACTAAAGTTAGACATTTTTAAATCAGTAGGTCCAGATAACTTGCATCCAAGAGTTTTAAAAGAGCTGGCTGAGGAGTTCGCTGGTTAATGTTGGTTTTCAATAAGTTGTGGAGCACAGAGTAAGTTCTAGAAGACTAGAAGAAAAATAATGTTGTACCAATTTTTAAAGAGGGTAAACAGGATGACCCAGGTAATTATAGGCCTGTCAGCCTGACATCAACCCTGGGCAAGATAATGGAGTGGCTGATACGGGACTTGATTAATAAAGAATTAAAGGAGGGTAATGTAATTAATGCTATTGAACATGGATTTATGGATCCTATCAAACTAACTTGATATCTTTTTTTGATGAGATTTCAAGTCTGGTTGATAAATGTAATAGTGTTGGCATAATATACTTAGATGTCTGTAAAGTGTTTATTTTGGTACTGCAAGACATTTTGATAAAAAAACTAGAACAATATAAAATTAATGCGGCACACATTAAATGGATTAAAAACTGGCTAACTGATAGGTCTCAAAATGTAACTGTAAACAGGGAATCATCATATAGCTTGTGCATTTCCAGTGGGATTTTGCAGGGATCAGTACTTGGACCTATAGTATTTGATATTTTTATTAATGACCTAGAAGAAAATTGGTAAAGTTTGCAGGTGACAGTAAAATTGGAGGAGTGTTAAATAACGAAGAGGACAGGTCACTGATTCAGAGTGCTCAGGATTGTTTGGTAACTTGGGCACAAGCAAACAATATACCTTTTAATAAGACTAAATGGAAATGTCTACATCTAGGACCAAAGACTGTGGGCCTCACTTACAGGATGGGGGACTCTATTCAGGGAAGCAGGGATTCTGAAAAAGTCTCAGGGGCCTTGGTGGCTAATCAGCTGAATATTAGCTCCCAGTGTGACACTGTGGGCAAAAGAGCGAGTGCGATCCTGGGAGGTATAAACAGGGGCATCTCGAGCAGGAGCAGATACCTCTGTATTTGGCACTGGTGCGACCGTCGCTGGAATCCTGTGTCCAGTTCTGGTGCCCACAATTCACAAAGGATGTTGGAAAATTGGAGAGGGCTCAGCGAAGAGCCATGGGAATAATTAGAAAACCTGCCTTATAGTGATTGATTCAAAAAGCTCAATCTATTTAGCTTAACAAAGAGAAGGTTAAGGGGTGACTTGATCACAGTCTATAAGTATCTACACAGGGAACAAATATTTAATAGTGGGCTCTACAATTTGCCAGAGATAGGTCTAACACAATCCAATGACTGAAAGTTGACACTAGACAAATTCAGACTGGAAATAAGGTATAATTTTTTGACAGGGAGGATAATTAACCATTGGAACAATTTACCAATGGTCGTGGACAATTTTTAAATCAAGATTGGAGGTTTTTCTAAAATATCTGCTTCTCAGAATTATTTGGGGGAAATTCTCTGGCCTGCGTTATTCATGGGGGTCAGACTAGGTGATCACAGTGGTTGCCTTCTGGCCTTGGAATCTAGGAGTGTCTGATCCTTCAATCCTGTGGGTTGTCCTTATTCTTCTTGTGGATATTCCCATTGAAATCAAGGGGAGTAAGAGGTCTGTGGGATCACGGCCAAATGAAATGCTGGTTTAATATTTGATACATTGGTGGCTAGATACCGAGATGACTGGTGCTCTGTAAATAGACAGGCTAAACATCCTCCTTTGGGAGACCATGGACCCCACCCCAGGCCACTGCAATCAATGTAAGCCTGGTCACTAAGCTCAGCAGAAGGAGAACGGAGCCCTGTCTCCCTGCAATTGTGGCAGGACGTGGGTAGGTGCTCAGCTGTTGTCAATTTCACTGAGCTTTACTGATTCCCACCAGATGAGGATCTGGCCCCAGAATTTCTAGCACTCAGGGGAAAGCTGAGATGAAAGGATTCACTCAGCCCGGACAGCGGCTTGTCAGTTGCAGTTCTGCTCCTTGTCATTCTCTAAGCAATTTCAGTTGCTGGATCTGCTGCATTAAGACCCCGATTCAGGGAAACACTTAAGCATTTGTTTAACTTCAAGGATGTGCTTATGTTCCATTGACTTAAGTACATGCTTAAAATTAAAGCACTCGCTTAAGTGCTTTCCTGAACTGAGCCTAACAGAGTGCTGCTGTGTTTCAGGGCCAGATCCTCAGCTGGTGGAAATCAGTATAGCTCACTGACTCTGATGTTACTAGAGCGATTTACATCAACTGAGAATCTGGCCCTAGGATTCCCAGAATGAGGAAAGTTGAAATTAAGAGATACAAACAAAAATAATTTCCACCGTAGTTTTTTAAGCAATGCATTTCCTAATATTAATTATTATTATTGATGTGTATTGCGGTTTTGCCTAGAAACCCCAATCATAGAGCAGTATACAAATACAGAACAAAAAGACAGCCCCTAGCCCCAAGGAGCTTACGCTGCAGAATGTAAGCCTAAAACCTAGGCACCTAATTCCCTTAGATGCCTGTGCAAACCCCAGCCTAAATCCTCCCACCACCACACTTACTTTTCAAAGTGAACACGAGCTGCCGTGTTGTGGCTGAAGCAGAATTGCCAGATTCCCTTTAAGTGGCAGTCTTTATTTACTTTATTTAGGTATTTAGGGGATGATGATGATGCCTGGGGAAAAAAGATCATTATCTGAGTTGTTTGGGTTTCCTTTTTTTTTTTTTTTGGCTTTCAACCCCCACCCCTTTGATCTTTATGATTAATTATTATTAATTATTAGTAGTAGTAGTAGAAGTAAGCACCAGTTAACAGTGTCCTTGCAAGAGCTGTTTCTCCTGGGAATTAGCTCACACTGCAAACCTTGGTGATGCTTAAAGACACAAATAATCTTTGCTTCTTTTCTCCTCCCTCGTGACTCAAGCCAGCCCCCAAACTCTCCTTTTCAGGCACTGCAGACGAGCAGCCACTAGATGGTTCGCTGCACGGGGAAGGCTGATAAAACCCCCAAATTGTCCTGTTGAGGATACTCCTCCCTCACTTAAATTACCCTGTTTTCTTTTAATAAACTAATCAATAAGTGTCACCAGCCTAGTGCTCTCAAGGCACCTTCTACTAATATGATACACCCCCCAGCATCCCTTAGCAATGCTACAGTAATAATGCAATATAATGTGCTCTGCCCAAGCAGCCCTACCATAAGAAATGGGTGGGTACAGTCCCAACCCTCACAAACATCCTTACATTTAAAAACAAAACCCAACGACCTGCTAATGGAGGGAGAAAAGAATAACTCCACTTTGCAGGTTATCTGAAGAGCTCAAAACATTTTAAAAATCATTGTCCACAGTCCTCCCTGCAGGCAGTGTTATGCCCATTGCACAGATCAAAAGAAGTAAGGTCATTTAATGAATCTGTGTTCAGAGGGCTGCAAAGAGAACTCAGGAGTCCTGATTACCAGCCCTCTGCCGCTAGACCAGAGTTTCTTCCACACAGTTACTGTCTGCTGGTGTCCCCTGGCTCCAAGTGGACCCCGTAGGGAGCTGGACCAAAGATCCCACAGGTATGTGTTGCCATCTACTATGTTCTGGTGGCCCTGATGGATGGACGAGAAAGGCCTCATTGACCAGACAGCCCTGCAAGAGCAGTTCTTCCCTCGGCCCACCTCACCACAGATATGTTTCAAGAAGTGGATCTGCTGATCAGAGCAGGACAGACTAGTAGGCTGCATTCCTGGGCTCTAATGAGAGTTTCGGGACCTTAATGATTAGAAAGGGAGAGTGGAAGTCAGGACTCTTGGGTTCAAAGATGAGCTGTGCCACTGACTTTCTGTATGTCCTTAGGTCACTTCAGCGCTCTGTGCCTCAGGTTCCCCATTGCAAAATGGGGCTACCCCCACGTACCTAACTCACAGGGAACCCCGAGTCTCAATTCCTTTCTGTTTGAGAGCTTAGGCTGAACGGTGCATTGCAAGAGCTGAGCATTCCTGCTGTTTACCAGCCCTACTTGCCAGTCTGAGTCACAAGGCTCATTTCAGACCTGCTGCAGCCACTTGTCCATGGCTCGCCAGGAGCTGTTACATTAAACTAAAACCGGACATGACCCTGGTTCTAAATCCTGTGAACTATGGAGCAATTCCAAGGTTGCAAGTGAGCCAGGTTGGTCCCAGAAGAGACGCTGACCGGCTTAAAGACTGCAGCGGGAGAGCAACCTTGAGAGAGAAAATAAACTTTCTACAGGTCTGGGGAAGAGGATCCTCATGTTAGGAATTTCTTTAGAAATAGGAAGGGAAATCTCCCTTTCCCTCTCTCTCCTGGTGCCGCTGGGACACTTGGGGTATTTCCCCTGATCTGTGTTTTAAAACCCAAACAGGGGCAAATTCTACAAGCCAGACTGGATTTTAAACCCCCTGATTACTGCCCGCTGGCATTTCAGGGCTGGATTCCGGGGCAGAACGGAGCTGTGGCAGCACGGATGCCGAGAATGAAATTAACAGAATTACAGTTTAAAGCTAAGCTCAGCATCAGCACAAAGGTTCTTTGCCATGGAAACAAGGGTTGCTAAGGGATTGACTAATATGTAGTAAAATATTCTAAAAGACAAGTTCTCATGGTGCTGTGATTACAGCCTGTGAGCGCAGGAGCTAGGGACCAGGGAGGGCGGTGGTGGTGGGCATACCAGTGCCTTTGGCTGGGTATTTCCAGTCCCATCTGTGTGGGTGCTGCATCATACAGGTACACTCTTTTTCACTAGCTGTCTTATTGCTTGACTTCCTGCAAGTGTCCAGTCACTTACACACACACACACACAGAGGCTGGATACCTACGATCTGGAATGCTGTCCACACACTCCTGAGGGCATCATTTTGGCAAGCGTGGCACGTAGGCAAAGAAAAGCAATAACCCCATCACACAGCAAAACAGAAGCTGGCTGCCCCTGCAGGGTACTGTCTCTGCCGATAGGAGCCAGGAGGGAATGCAGGGTCCACCTGTTTATACCCATAGGGAGAAAATCACCGCAGTGCAGAGAGGGCCAGCAGCACACAGCCTGTGATCCATTAAGTCCTAAAAATAAGGCAGAAGTAGGTCAGAAGAGGTGCACAGGTGGTGGATATTGGCCGGTCACCCCCAGACCAGGTCGCAGCCCCACGCACAGCCCTGGGAGCAGAATGGACAGACTCTAGGCAGAAATAACGCGGGCCTGGGCAACTGCACATGGGGCTTGCTCCTGGCCCCCCGATGGAGCTTCTGAAGCATTGGTCCCCCCTGGTCTGGGGCGCACTGCACTGTGACTACAATTCCATCCCTTTTGAATGCAGCTCTAGAGACACACACATGTAGCATTTATGTAGATTTAAAATACTAACAAGAAGCCTACCCAAAGCTCTAGGCTCCCTTCCGTCATGAACACAGGCACATCTCAGAAGCAGTAAGTACCCATTTCAGTAGGAACGCAGACAGACTGACACTGACAGAGACTCCACTGCCTCCTGGGAAAGAAACCCAGAGGCTGCTCCAAACCCCTCGCAAACAACCGTCTTTTGTTTATATGCTGCCCCATTGTATTATCTGGTGACACCAATCACACCCACTTCCCCCTCCCCCGGCGGGCTTTGCTAGGCCTGACTTTAAGACGCTGGACACTGGAAGGTCCCATTGGCGTTAGCTGGGTTTGGGTGTGCTCAGCACCTTTGAATTCCAGGTCCCCACATTGAGATCAGTTTGAATAAACTCCCAGGAACTTCTTTTCGACTCCAGACTGCTGACTCTCAGAGCCAGCCGCAGAACAGAGCCATGCTGGGCCTGGCCAGGGCACTGGAGCCTGTTCCTGCCGTTTCCCCCAGTTTTCTGGGTGCAGAAGATATCGAAAATCTAAAACTTTTCCTATTTTTTTTCCATGAGCAAAAATTTTCCAAGGAAAGTCGCAGATTTCAGGGCACTGTGTGTAGAATCACAGTGACCCTAAAGCCCCACTTCTAAGCAGCATGAGATGGCTCCAGGCCACTGAGGAGCTAGCCTAGGGCTGGGCTAAAGCCATTTAGATCTGCCTGTCTATTGCGCTTTCTACACCCCGCCATGATGAGCACAGCATGAAAATGCGGACAGAAAGAAAAACCTAACTCGGGAGGCTGGAATCATGTTCACAGAATCAGAGCGGTTTGCACAGAGAAGTCCTGTTATCTCCCAGGGACAGGGCAGGATCAGCTCCTTGGCTACATTCTGTTGTTTTGCCCGGTCTGGTCCCAAGCTTCCCTGGGAAGATGATTCCCCAGGTAGATCCTTTTCATGGCAGGGGGTGATGGGGCTGTCTCCCCTCTCCTCAGCCAGATCCATCTCACCGGCAGGAAGTTTTATGTCTACTCAGCCTACAGGACAGAATTCTCAGCTTGATGTGATTTCCGTGGAGCTGTGCCAAGCTACACCAGCTGAGGATCAGGCCCTAAGCTTCTCTTTCCTTAGCGCTGCCCTGTTCTCCCTAGTGGCACACTTGTGTACAACACCCTGGCTGGAATTTCCCAAGGACTTTAGATTCGAGCAATCAAGGGGACTTGGGCACTGACTCCTTGGGAAACCCCAGTCTAAAGAACCGTGCTCCCTCCTTGGCATTGACACCTTGATACACCCACAGAGCATCATCCCTTCCCTTCTACCCCCTCGCGTCTTTCATTAACCTTCCAGCAAAGACGCTGGGGGATCTTTTTCTGAGCCACCAGAATATGCATGTGTACACTTGCGTTGGGGGTGGGGTGGGAGCTAAGTCTTTGTCAGCCCCCGAGTGAGTCTCTCTCCCCCTGGATCGGGGCACTGGAACAATGTCTATAGTGGGGGTGATGAGAAACTCTAAACCCTGCATATCATAGACTCTCAGGGTTGGAAGGGTCCTCAGGAGGTCATCTAATCCAACCCCCTGCTCAAAGCAGGACCAATCCCCAATTTTTGTCCCAGATCCCTAAACAGCCCCCTCAGGGATTAAACTCACAACCCTGGGTTTAGCAGGCCAATGCTCAAACCACTGAGCTCTCCCTCCCCCAATATGATGGAAACCACTTCGAGGCAGTGGGTGTGGCAGCCCCCCTGGTTCCAGCCCTGTGCCCCAGACTGGCACTGGCAGCCAGTTGGTATGTTCGGCATGTAACAGCCAGTTAACTTGATTAGTTTTATGGACAAAAATAAAGGGGCTTGGCTGAATAATACACGAGGGGCTACCTCTGACCTTGAACCCATGGGTCCTTTTTCACCCGCTGCGCAGCCCATTCACAACAGCTGGGCTGTCTAGCCGCCGCCTGACAGTTCAATGCAGGCATTGTCTGGCCCGACTATCACCCAGCCCAGTCGAAAATGCAAAGAAGTTCCAATATAATATTTATGGAGTACACAGTCACCTTCTCTGCCCCACGCCTCTTTCTATTTTTCTTCTCCCCCTGCTGCCGCCTGGCACAGAATAAAAGAAGGATTCACCCGACACCTCTAGCGAGACTGGGAGAATTCATTAATTTATTGCCAGGAGAGTTGCTGGTATTTAGCCAGTTGACCTGCAACATTTGGGAGTAGCTAATTCTAGTTTAAATCCTCTCCAGTATCATTCATGTGTGTGAGTAACGTGCCTCTATTAAATTCTTCTCCTCTTCACAGCTTTCTAAGTTTTCTCCATAAAGAGAGGATTTTGTACCCACACATGGAGCCAGTCTCCTCCCCTCCAGCAGACAAACAGATATATTTTCCTTGCTTTTCCCAAATACTGCAAGCCTCTTCTAATAAACTTTGGAGCAATGACATTATACTCACAAGAATAGCTTTGGGAAAAGATTCTCCTGCTTTATGTCACTGCATAACTCCTCCATCAATTAAAACAAAAAATAAGGGCGAGAAAAGCTTTTCTCAAAAGTAAAATGCCAACAAGGAATATTTTGGATTATTCTGCACAAGCTAATGGGGATGAGCAAGGTTTGCTGGCCTGGTTCTCTTTCAGACATGTGAGAATTTCAGATCTAATCCAAAGCCTGTTGAAGAATCAATGGAAAGACTCCCGTTGACTTCAGTGGGCTTTGGATCAGTCTCTTCATGTTGGAAAGTCATTCATTCAGAATGAGACCAACTAGGAGAGTCTGACACTAAAGAAAAAAAGAGGGGGGAGATTTTTAAAGGCACAAAGGACAAAGACCCCCAATTCCCACAGGTCTTTGAAAATGTCCCTGGTAAAGTCAGTGCAAAACTTGGAGATGAAATGCTCCCTGTGATGTGACTGGATAAAAGGAAATGTCATCTATGTGAGGAAGAGGAGGGTTTAGCCCCATATTTTAATTTTGGGCAATTTATAGAAATGGAATGGACACAATTCCATGTTGCCTCTGAGTTGTTGCCACCTCTGAAGAAAACAGGGCTGAACTTCTGCATCTCGGCAGTGTTTGTAATTGGGCCAAGTGGCTGGAATGATTGTATCCTCTAAGTGCTGCCTTTCATTGGCTGGACTGGACCATACAGAGCCACACAATCAACTATAACTCAGGAGAGTGGCCTTTAGGTTAAACGCAATAAAAACCCAACTGGAGCCAAATTCTGAGACTGGGTTTGTATAAATATACACAGGAAACACCCTTAAATTGACAATTTCTGCAGAGTTGAACCCTATGGTGGGGCTGTTGCTCACTAAAGGGTTCCCCTCAGCTGCACAAGCTCTCTGGGAGAGAGAGAATTTAAGTTAAACAATTTTCTTTTAAGCAGCAATAAAATTGGAGTTTTACTCCTACCAGAGAGCCACAATCTGTCAAAAAATTAATTTGATCAGAAAAATAGCCGCCACAAACCAGAAACTCAATCTGTATCATCGCATAGCAGAACCTGGGAGTGGGAACTGTTTTTACTGGTTCCTTCTATCTGAAGGGGCTTGAAACTGCTACATAGGGTTTGACTTACTTTCTGAGGTCTCTGTATAGGACAGTCTCAGTGACCGATCGCTTTCTGTCTTAGCTCCCATTGATACTTGTGGTTGTCAAATATGTATTTTCACTAGTGCGATATTTGCAATTCCAGAGAATCTCTCAGTTAAAACGTTCTGTTAAAAAGACACATACTCGCGACACCGGAGATGATGATTGGTATGTGAGTCAACTTAAATTTGGGGGGCTGATTGTGCTCTCACTGGTGCTGGTGTAAATGGGGAGTAACATCTTTGACATTTTAAGTGGGAGGAGAATCAGGCCTTTTAGCATCTCCTTAAAATGCGTGCAGCAGATGCTCAGTGTGCCATTTTCAGATTTGGTGCATGAGAGCTAGAATTCATTATCAGGTTACAGCCATGGAGTAATCTCAATTATTATTTCAACTGAAGTGCATTTGTGCTTTATTTTACAAAAGAGAAAGCCTTAACTGTTTTCTTCACAGGAATAACGGAAGTGGGGCATGCCGATGCCAAGCAGAAAAATCCAGGCTCTTTAAGAAATCGGAGATCCATTTTTAACACACAAATGCTCCCATTACTGCAAAACCCCGCAAATGTACAACACTGCTCCAAACACAGGGATCGTTAGAGACGAAGTGAAGTCACTCTCCAAATGCCACCTATGTGTACCAGTGACAGCCATCCCAATGAATTCAATACGGCCACAGCACAGGGTGGTTCTCACTCACCCCGTTCAGTGGTGTGTGTTTGATGGATCAGGCCCACAGGGAAGTCAGTTCTCCCCAATATTCCACTATTAGCAGGACGGGCACATTTGTTCAGTGTGTAGTCACCAGGGTGACTCTCCACATAACAGCCCGTGTCACTCTAGCCGAATTCACCACAAGCAAGTTCTGGCAGAGCAACCGATCTGGGGCAGAGCCCCAGCTAGTGTCCATCGTCACAGCTCCTTTGACTTCAGCACACCTATGACAGTTTGTACCGGCTGAGCACCTGGTTTTAGAAGGCACTGAAATCAAAAATCACGGGTGTCTTCCTCCATTCACAGTGCGGAGGAAGGCACCAGTGGTCTGCTAGAGAAATCCACCAGGGCCTCAAAGATGCCTTCTCCCGAGCAGAGCAGGCATGGTGACAGAGAAAACACAGCCCCAAAAGCAACTCCTTA